TTGTTCGATATGCTCGTTATATGTTCACAGAATTCCTTCAGAGCTTATTTAATGTAGCCCACCTGCTCATAATATTCTCATAATAACCACATGTAAATTATCCAATGTGCCCCCAAACGCACGCTTGCTTATAAATTACAGTAATCAGCCTAATGGAAGAGCTTTAGCTAATGGTTAGCATTGCCAGCGTTGCCATTACTGCTTCACAGCACATTTGATGTTCATCAGATCTCATTTTATTGGTTGGGCCAAAAGTTGTCTACATCAGTTTAACTTGATGACAGAGCAAGCTCTCTCTTTTTTCAGCTTTATACTCCCAACCTGAACAATTAACAGTGCTATAACTACTTTTAACAGTTGCTGAAAGGATGATTATCTTTGTTTTTAAAACACTTGACAGGATCCAGCTCTGTGGGGCCGGGGGAGCTTAGTCAGGAAGATTGAGCCTGGTGTTTTAAGTGGTTTTGTTTGTTTTGGGGAGAACAGGTCTGTGACAGTAAAGCACACCAGCAAGACTGATGGTTTGTTTGCCTTGTCTTTTTTCTGCTTCGGGGACCAGTCTGATTCTCGCTTTCAGTGCTGAAGAGCTATACATTGTGCACACAGCGGGGGGGACGTACACCACCTGGACTCCCTGCGCTGAGCAGCATAGAAATGCCACGATGGCGCATCATCCCAGTTTGATGAGCAGCATTGTTTTTTTTTTTTTCAGCAAAACAGATGGGCTTTACTTTTAGATTCAAGTGGGATAAACAGGATGATTATAAAATACTTCACTGTGCTGTGATAATCTTTATATTTTACACCTGGCTACAGATACGCTCCTTAGTACCCGTCTTAGCTGTTGAAGGGAAATTTAAAAAAAGAAGCTTCAAACACTTCATCTCACACAACAGTGGAGTTAGACTTTTTAAAGGTACGACAACAAAGCCGCCATATGCTGTTAGAAAGCAGCATGCATTCCCACGACTCAGTGAGTCGTATTGTATTATATTGTACCTGCACCGCTGTGGCAACAACAGACAATAAAGAAATGCAAGGAGGAGTCTGTGTCAGTATGACACCTTTTCCCACCAGGTTTATTATCCCTGTCATGATTTATATATTGAAACCGAATGACATAAGCCGTGGAAAAACATCAATACTTACTGTACTGGGGTGTGACAGTGCGATAGCCAAATCATAGAAGGGAGGCTGCTTTACCAGAGTCATGTAAAGCACACTTTAAAAAGGGTATTTGAATTGCAGTTGAGATACTGCGATGTTTTAAATGACTCTCACTCAGCTCCTGCTTTAGTGACGGTGGTTTATTTTTCTATCAGCTTGAATTTACAGCCTGATCACTGTTATTTCAGTAAAAGTTCGCAAGTTAAGTTTCACTTATTCCTCAATGTGTGTAACTTAAATCATTTGGGTTGATCTGATTTGTTAACTTAAGAAGTCTAAATGCAGTTTTTCACTTTGAAAAACTGCACAGACACTAAATCACTCAGAAATGATTATTTTCATTACATCTCTTCCCCTTTCTTATTCTTCACTGATATCTTATGCTGGGGGTAGCTGTAGAAATGCAGGCTTTGTTCGTTTTTGACTTGCATTAACCTTTATTGGATGATTACAAACATATTCTAACAGAGAAATTGAAACTGGAACGAAGAGACAGGGCGGGACAGGTGCTAAGATGCTAAGAGAGAGACTCATTTGTCTGCTCGTGTTTACGGGTTTGCTGGGCCGACTGGAGCCCAGCTGTTGCTGATTAGTGGAGGGAATGTTTCTTTTATGATAGAGAGGAAAGAGAAAAAAGATAATAGAAAGAACGGGCAAAGAAAAGAGGACAGAGAACTTGTGCATGTGTGCGTGCGTGTTTGTGTGATAGATGAAACAGAATGATGGGAAGGAGAGCGAGCAGGATAAGTGATAACTGCCCTGCTTCTGGTCTGTTCCAACAGCAAAGGTGATCTGACAACACGAACCAGCTGAAAAATGAAACAGCAAATGGACCAGTCAGTAGTGAGAGATACCCCCCCCCCCCCACCCTTCCCCCTCGTTCCAGCTACACCTGTTGTTTGGGAAGATAGGTGTATGCAGGAAAACAAAAGCATGTGCAGTTCCTCTTATGGTTCCACCTTGCAATGGTTTGTCAGTATCACTCTCTGACCGTCACTAAGGAATCCAATCAAGCCTGTTTGTCAAGCTGGATCATGATGGGTTGAGGTGGTGTAAATGTTTTTTTTTCTTTTAGGGAGAGGGGAGGGTCATTTGTTTGATGTATGTTTATAGTAAATTCCTTCCCCGCCAGCACTCTAATCTGTCGTTTACACAGCAGGAGGATGGATGTGCGATGGGGGTAATGGTGTGAGGTGAAGGAAAGGTTGCAAGATACAAAACCGAAACAGACATCTGAGTGTGGAGTGCAGCCCTGTCTCTGCTGACCGCAGGAGGTCATGACCCCTGCTGTGCAGACTGCACAGGTTTATGGCTGTCTTTTGTCATTCTGCTATCTTTTTCCAGTGCTTTTAAATTCTTTGGTGTTTTCTTTTTTCTTTTTTTGAGGGGTGAAAAACCCCGACAGTCCTAGATTCTATAGCTTTATTTCTCTGCTTTATACACAGCCAAGACTTTCTTTCAAGCAGAGTATTGGCTTTTGGTGGACTGCAGAATAACAATTGGAGCATCCAGGGGAAATTCAGCTTTTGCGAATGTATTTTTGAAAACTTTCAACTTCCCATACTGTAAAAAAATTTATATCTCTCTGTTCAAATCTCTTGATGATCCAACAGCACATTTAATTCATGCTCTTCAATAACAAAAGAGGATTAAACTCATTGAAAGAAACTAATCATGCTTCAAGCTATAAAGAGAACTGCTCCCTGTGCCCTCTGCACTGACGCTCAGTCGTATGTGGATGGAGAAGATTCTTCTAGACTGATCAATAGTTCTTTCAGTAAGGTCCCTAAAGCAGGCCCTTCCACCCACCGCTCTCCTCTCCTGGACTACTTCTGATGTGTTTACTCTGCAAACACTTACGATACTTCTTTAGCTGTGGACGGGTCAGATCTGAGCACTGCTGGTGTTTACAGAGGAACTTGACTTTTCAACCTACCTGCTATTCTTTTCTTTTCACCTCCACCTTGCCTCAGTTTAAACAATGCCCTTTCTTTCATTTCCCTCTTTACAAGAAATCAAATACAAGAACTGCTGCTTTCGAATACAACTTTGCCTCTTTTGTGACTCACGCGTGCACACAAAGAGAAAAATGAGCGTGAGACAACAGTGCAGGCGAGGCCAGTGCACTTCCACCGCACTGAAGTCCTAACCCCTTGATTTCCACCAGCTTTCAGTGCCCAGACTGAGTCTCGTTATTGTAACCTTGGAAACTCTCCTGTCCTCTCTCGTCCTTTGCATTTTCTCCTCTCTCATTTCGTTGATAGCTTTGACAAACTGTGCTGCCTGTGTTTTCCACTTTTCCTTTCTGGGCCTTCCACAACTGTGCTGTCCTTTTGATAAAGAGACAGAAGAAGAACACTAACTGGTCTGTTGAAACTTCGCCAGCGTCCTTCCCTTACTCCACCGATCCTTTTCTCCATCTGTCCCACATCCCTCCATCCCCTGTCAGTGCTTTCTCATAGTGATGAAGCTCATTAGCGGACTGTCTCTGTCAGATAGAATGGGGGGGAGGCGGGGGGCTCCCTTCTGTGTTTATATTTAGATACTGGGATACTGCAGGTATGATGTGGTGATTTTTAATGAGGTGCTGAGCAGAGCCTGGATGCTGTCAGTCACACAGAGAGAAAGAGTGACTGAGAGAAAGCAAAGTAGCCACCTGGTGTAGTGGTAATCAGTTTTGTCTGTCATTTTCTGTCCCACTCATAAATTTACTACTCCTTCCTCATAACTGAATTACAAAGAGTGGATTTTTGTTTTTTTTTCCCCAAGAAACACCTGCTGTGTTTTGGATACAGTTTGTGTGAGTCTCCTTTTGAAATGCAGTGTATATGAATGTGTGAAGTTCATGAATAGCATGAAAAAAGGTGGCGACAGGCAAGTTGCCATCTTGCTGGGCGCTACGGCTAACCAACACTCCAGCTTTTAGCAAACAGCTAACCACTAAAACGTCTCATCTTACTTAAATGCTGCTACAAAAAGCTAAAGACTTTCAGCTTGGATTCACTCTTCTTCCCGCTCAAGTTACATCTATTTACTCATCAATTAAGGTCTGAAAGAAACCCATCTGCTTAGACTCAAGGGGAATGGAGAAATACCTGTCTGGCAACAAATGGACCTCTTTGCACCAGCTGCTAGAGAAGATGAGCCCGGGAGTGGCACGATCTGATATCCTCGTGTTGGTCACATTGTTGTGACGTATACTTTTGCGACTTCGGAAAAAAATGCTGTAAATAAAATCTACTTAACTTGCGAGAAACCGCCTCTGTCCGCCGATCCAGCAATTTGAATTCTTTGCATTTCAGGATACTGTTCTTTAATAAACAATTAGCATTGTACATGTTGTCCTTGCAACATTGGAATTTCATAAATGAATGAATGGCTTGGCTTGAAAAAGTATTATGTCACAACAAGCGATTGATCACTTGCAATGTTGAACCTGGAACAACATTTATTATGATGATGTGGGACGAGCACCAACACGAGGATATCAGATGGGTGCTGCTGTTGGCACGGGAAGATACTGCTGGAATTGGGAGACAGTTGGGAGTTGAGTCTAATACAAGAGTCTAATCTAATTGCTTAGAGTTTGCATTCTGGGGTGTTATATGACACTGAGAACAGATGCCACCTTCATCTCTCTATACACACAATGTGTCCTTTGGTGTTGGTGTCTTGACACACTAGCCAAGGCAATCCATTTGTGGAACTGACATGCCATGAATTCCAAGTTAGAACTCTGAAGAAGTGGCATTGGCAGAAGTCACAGTGTTGCCTAAGATCACTCAAGTGAAACCAGAAAGTATTACAGGCTTTGACAATGACGCTCATCAAACCACCATGCATGATTACGTCACCTGATAAAAACTGCATCAAATATGCAGAGCAAAGATGTGACGATAAAGTTAAAGAAGTTTTATTTTTCACAAACATGAAGGAATATTAGGAGTACATTTGAATGAGTGGAACTTTGTTTGTTCTTTGCTTACAAGAATTTATGTTTCTCTGTCTGTAAGATGCTGGCATTAAAAAATAGTTTTGGCCTTCATAGTAGTTTATGATGCCTTTACTTATGTCTGTGTCTGTGAGTGAAATGTGGATCAAATAGTGCAGAATATTCCACGTATTTATCTTCAAAAACTCCTGAGCTGCTTTCAGAGTGTGAGATGAGAGATGAATGATGAGCCCTCTGCACTTCTGAATTCATTAGACCCAATTCTGCTGTCTGTGACCCACTACCACTAAAAGCCATGTATGCCCATGCCATTATACTCCCTCTTCTGCCTTTTATACCATGTTTTTTGTTTATTACATTCGGGAGCATGAGACATACCAAGCCTTTTTCCACCCTATTTTCATCCTGGCTTTCTGATAAGGGTTCTTTGGCTTTATATGCCCAAACAATGCTGTTCAAGGACTTGTCTGGCTTTTGAAGATATTTTTTGGCAATAATAAATGGATAATAAAAGGAACAAAAGGCTGTCATCCCTGTATTGCATTGTTTAGTTCCAGGAAATCTCATTAAATTTGACAATGCTTACTTAGTTTATAAAGTTCTAAAAACAATGGCTTTTATATTCTAGACAAAGGTTGGGTTGTACTACAGAGGAAAACATATTTTTTTTAATGTCTTACGGATGTTTTAGTATGACTAAATCTGATCATGACAGACGGAAAAGCATTGCTGTTTTGCTGTCTCCCTCCTGAGTGTTCCAAACCAAAACTAATTTATAAATGCAAAAGTCAAAGTTTGTTAGAAATCACCTGGAAAGACAGATTAATTGTGATGTTTCTCCATCCCACAGAGCATTGTGGCCAAATATGCATCTCAGTTTCGTGGAAACTCTCAGCATGATGCCCTCGAGTTCCTCCTCTGGCTTTTAGATAGAGTTCATGAAGATGCCAATTCCAGCCCTGACAACAACAACAGCAGCACCAAGACCAAAGCCAATGCCAAGGTAAGTCTGCGTCACCGGTTTTTACTCATCCGCCTTGTCTGGTTTGAAATCATTGTTTGTTATTCAGGCCAGTTACTTCACTGTTAAAAAAAAATAGAGTAAAAAATTTAAATACTTCAGAAACAGAAGTTTTAGTAAAATAATAACATAATCTCCTCTTGGGTCTTGGCCACTGTTTTCATTTTGTTAGTACCTTGGATCTCTTTGTGTAAAAAATGTATAAATTCAATACTAATTATATTCAGTTATATTCATCACATTCAACTCCTTAGTTTTTATCATTACAGCCTTGATAAATTGAATAAATACATATCTGCAATGTTACGTGGTATTATAAATTATTAATATGCAAACCTGAATTTGTTTCTGAGTTAATTTAGTATTTGAGTTTTATTCAGATTTTTATCCCAATGCCTCAAGTAACAAACAGCAGATTTTTGTATCCACTGAGCACTTGTAAAGTTCTTCAATTAAAAGAACATTTAAAGCCAATAACCACAAAAATATATGATTAAACTGGCTCCAAGATCAGATACCTTCCTTTGGGCTGGAGCTTTATTAAAGCCAACGATCACCAACTTTCTGCTTAAGCTGGTTAGCATAGCCCCAGTCACAGGTATGCTTTGCTGACTCTTGCAAGTTTGGAGTAGTGGGACAGCGCTGGATCTATTTTCATTGCTCACTCAAGTTGTTAAGATTTCCCAGACACCTCATTTCTCCGATCATTTCCAATTTTATTTTAAAAATTTGATATGACTCTTATGAGCTGTGATCAGCTTTAGTCCAAAGCTGAATCTTGGTCTCATTCGGCTTCTTTTTAAACACACACACAAAAGTGACAACTTTCTACAAATATACTTACCTGACACTTCCAGGTTGCACTAAAATCCATCAAATTTGTTTTAACAGTGTGATCAAATTTAAATTGCAGAAGCAAATTTCACAAAAAACCCAAACAAACAATATAAGCACTGTTAAATTATGGCAGTAAATGTATTTTGGGATGCAACCTTGTGTCAATGTGGCAGTCTTAATCATGGTTTTTTAATTTTATTTATGGAACATGGGTTCGTAAGAAAACAAATATTTCTGGGGGAAATTTGTCTCTTCACCACAGACCTTAAATCTTCTCTGCTCCAAGTGGAGCTGAATCTATGAAGGGTCAGAACGGTTTTGTTCTTTCAGCTGCAGTTGGTCTGAAATGAATCTTTGTGTGCAGTGACTGTTTTCTGAAGCTGCTGAAGTGGCAGTCAGTCATTCCCACACTCTCCGTGTCCTTGTCTCTGTCTCTGATGTGGGATGCTCACCTTGCTACCGTGCATGTGGAGAATTAGAACTATCACACCAGAATTAGGTGTGATATGGTTAAAGAGTATGACATAAATGGTAGACATGTCACATTTTATGGCAACTATAGTTTCTACTGCTACATTTTTTCTCGAGTCCCACTATTTTTTTAAAAAAGATTATTGTTGACTGATACAAAATTAACTTAATGTTAAATGTTAAAGCAGTTTCAATTTAGGTGGTTTTATTTTCTGGCTGTTTAAAAGAAAATGAGGATATTTTTGAAAGAGTTTTGGCTGCTTTAGGCTAAAAACTGGTGTTAGGGTTTAGTTGGCATAGTTAATAATAGGAAAATGGGCTAGAAAATGCATCATGTCCATGTAAATGTCTTTACAAATATTTGTGTATTTTATGACACTGAATACTAAATGTGAAAACCTGCTGTGATCAGCATCCACTCTGACACCCCTCTTGTGTTTAATCACATATGCTAAGTATCATCCTGTTTCTTCAGTTCATCTGGAGTTTGCCAACCATGCGGCCTCCGCTACAGGCCGCCAGCTGAGGACTTGTTAGTAAGTGAATACTGTTACAAGCTTAACTGTTGCTGCACTGCCACCCAATGTCCAGCTCCCCCACTTTGACACCAGTGCTAATAGCGGCTGTCCTTTATGCAACATAAACAGCTTAGGACTGTAGCTCTCATTAGGCTGCCAGTGAATCATGGTATAATAAAGCCGCTTTCCTCCACTGTGGCAGTGAGGCAGAGATGAGGAAAATAACTGGCTTTTTTCACACGAGCCAGAAATTTCGATTTATTTTATTTTTACTTTACAAATGAAATACTCTTTCATTTTTCTACAAACTGATTTCATTCATGCAGCACTGTTGTAATTCAAAAACCTTGTGTGCATCTATGGTTTTACAATATTTGATTAAGTGGAGATTGTTTGGAAGAACTGAACATTTATTAAGATACAAAATTCAGTTAAGCTATTTGGCGATTAGACTCCTATGACTCATCATAGCAGACTGGAATCCCAGCAGTGACAGGAATTAAAACAGGACCTCCTGGAGTCTAGACACTGGTGCTGGTGAAGATGAAGAGAGATGTTTGGGTGGCGCTCTGAGGGTCCAGGGTGAGGCAGAGATGGGTATGAGGTGGGTTGCATGAGAGTCTGAAAGGCAGAATGACAGAAGAGGACTGGGATTTTAAAGCACACAGCATGGAGGCTGATTGCCTCAGAGAAGGCTGGAAAGGAGATGATTAGA